CCATTGTTCTCGTTATTTTTCAACGCCACGGATCAAACTGACTGCTGTGCCTTGGCGATCCCGAATCGTGCCAGAAAACATTGTTGGGGATTTCAACACCGCGAATCAAAATAACTGCTGCACCTGCATGTTCTTGGATCCTTTCAAAAAGCCATTTCTGGTACGTTGACCATGGGAATCCGTAGAACTCTTTCAAATGTTACGAACGAATGTGCGCGGCGCTAAGGCGAGCACCACATTTTGAAAACCACCCGCCCTCAATCCGTGAAACTCTTGTTGCAATGTTTTAGAACGAATGTGCGCGGCGGTAAGGCGAGAAATACATGTTGAAAACCACCCGCCCTCAATCCGTGAAACTCTTGCAATGTATAAAACGAAAATGCGCTGCGCTAAAGCAAGAACCACATTTTGAACAACCACCCGCCCTCAATCCGTGAAACTCTTGCAACTGTTTAACACGAATGTGCGCGGCGCTCAAGTGAGAACCATGTTTTGAAAACCACCCGCCCTCAATCCGTGAAAGCGACCCGCCCTCCATATGTAAAACTGTTGCCACTTTTTAAGCCTCACAGTCATAAATGGTGAGGAGTCTCAGGCGAAACGCCCAGCCCGCCCTAAAAACTGGCCTCGGGGAGCGACAGGGAGAAGTTATTCAAAAGGAAAAGGAATGGAGGAGGAGGAGGAGGAAGTGCGGGCCAATGGGTGGACCATCGCAGGGGTGGCGAGGATCCGGTGGCAACTCATGAGAGCCTCCCATCTCATCTTGTCGGCTCTTGCTCAGCGACGCTAATCGACACTAGTCGACGCTACTCGACGCTACATCGACGCTGATCGACGCTAGCCGACGCTAAATCGGCGCTATCGCATCGACTCCCAGACGCTTATCGACGCTAAATGGGACGCTGATCGACGCTAAATCGGCGCTATCGCATCGACTCCCAGACGCTGACCGACGCTTATCGACGCTCAGACGGAGTTAAGGGGGTATAGAGGCTTCCATGATTTGCTACCGAAGTGGGGTAGGGGGCAGAGGTGGGGTCGGAGGACAATCGCTCCAGAGCCCCTGGAGGGGAGAAGTATCAGCCTCAAGCTGGGTTCGCTCCCTGACCCACCTTGAGCTAAACCCCCCGTTCTGCATGCCCCCGACCTGCAAGTTCAGCGCCACCCGCATGTCCCGCCCCAGCCGAACCGGCTCCGGCGCGGCCGACGGCACCTCTCCGACGACGGCCGCCGCCGCCGCGCGGCAATGGCGGCGGCGCCGCCGCCGCCGACACCCCCCATCTCCGACGAGATCGCCGACGAGGAGATCTTGTTCAATCCTGACGTTTGTCGTTGATTTCGGCACCGCTTGCACTGCACCAGCAGCACGCCGCACCAGCCCCTCCCATGGGCCCCTCTGGCCCATCTCCGCCAGCAGGCTGCACTAGCCCGCACTGGCGACCCGGGTGCGCCGGCACGCGGGGTGAGCACTCCAGATCTCCGACGAACTACCTTTTCCCATCTGGGCGTTGTTCCTCGATGTCGGCGTCTGGGGAATTATTCAAGCGCTTGCTAATGAGGGGTGAGATCCACATCCATTGAGGATTGGCCACGCCTTCGAGAAACTTCCACGAACGTTTTGCTTGTTCTAAACCACTGAGCGGTTCCTTTGAGTTTCGTGGTGCTGTGCTTTGAACAATCTCATTTTCTGCCAGGCACTTGGTTTTGCCCCCGCGGGGTCTGGAGGGGAGTGCAAGGGTAAGCGCACAGGCGAATGAAAAACCAATGGTTCGGGAGCAACATGTAATCAGTCAGGCTGGGCCCTGGCGGGTTTGACGCCCGTTATCCCAATATCACATGCCTCGACAGAGGCGTATCTGATCAGTGGTGCCAGCCTTGCGAGCACATGGGGCCCGGCTGCCGCCGTGCGCGCCTCCCGATGCGGCCCGCCTAGCAGCCTCCGCGTCTCGCGTCGCGCGGGCCGCGAACAAGGCGGGTCGGCGCAGAGCGGCGAGAACGCGCGCGTCGGTGCGCTGCTTCTGGTGGCGGCGGTTGCACGCTAGTCGCCAGAAGCAGCGGCGCGCCTTCGGTGAAATGTCCAATATTTCAACCACCCCTCCCCTGTCGTTGCCTGTCAGGGCAAGGACATACCCCTGTCTGGCCCGCGCGGCCCGCGCGGGCAAATCAAAGAACTCTGGGCTTTGGCGGCGCGAGATCTTGCTCAAGACATCCGGGAAAAGAGAATTCATCGCATAATGAACGACGATGCGTCGGCCCATTTGGGAAGAGGAAGGCCGCTCGAGTAAGCGAGAACGTAGAAAAACACAACTGGACTCCTGTTCAAAAACTGAGACAGGTGTGCGGCGTTGCGCAAAAAGTTCCGATCGGGAGATCACGAAAAAATGTTCAATCTATGTGCAGCCACTTGCGGGCGGAGAAACCGCGGAACAACGCATCCGAAGACCATTCTAGAGGCCTCCTGGATGGGGTCCGAGCAGATGGGGTCCGAGTAGATGGGGTCGAAGGATCGCGCCGCATCGCCAATGCATCGCCAATGCATCGGCGATGCATCGGCGATACATCGACGATGCACCAGCGATGCATCGGCGACGTCGGCGACGCATCAGCGACGTCAACGTGAAGCAAATCGAGCTCCGCATCGAGCCGCATCGGCGATGCATCGGCGATGCGGCGCGATCCTCCGACCCCATCTACTCCGACCCCATCTGCCTCAGCCCCCAAATTTCCCCCGGGATTGGGATCAATGCGGCCAGCGACCAAGCTCATGTCCCGCGAGGCATGGGCGACATGCAATGCAGGCGGCGTCCATGACGATTGAGCATCGTTTAACCGATCCCTATCACCACTCGCGTGGCCTGGGCCCCACTGGCCGGTTTACCCCCCCTAGATTGGGATATAGGCAGTTTCTGCCAGATTTCGAAGGATATATCCCCAACTGGGGGGATGAGATGGTGGGGGTCTGGATGGGGATGGGGATGGGGATGAGAATCGGTTCTAAACGATACTGAACGATGCCCCCTGGATCTTCGGACCCACGCGGCGGCTTCAGTGCCAGTGCCCCCCTGGTACCGCGAACCGAGCGGGCGGCGACGCGCGTTTGCGGAAACCAACATCCCCCCGGTGCCAGAAGCGAAATCACAAAGGCAGGAAATGGCGAAATCAGTCATCCTATTTGCGCTGCTGGTGATAGCGGGTGCGTTGCCACATGGCGCAGCGCTGGTGGGAACTGGGGAAATGAACGAGAGTCTCTTCAGATGCTCAAGTGAAAGTCGCACCTCAACTGCCGCGTGCAGCTGCAACAAAAATGCGGACAAACATCGACTGTTCACTGACCCCGAAATAGGTGACCCCGATCAGCAGGCGAGTGAACTATTGCGCGCAGGGGCCATCAAACAAGGATTCGGAACGACGAACAACCCCCGATGAAGGTATCGGGACCTCCAGGACCGCGAATCCAAAGAAATGACCCCGACACCAACCCCAAAGCAAAGCAAACCACGTCAACACGAAATTCGTATGACATTGTCGGCTAATTGCACTGGCCATTGACGTTGAAATCTGCTTTTTACTCCTCTGGTCCTCCCCTCAATCCTGCCCTCGACTCCCCACCATCTACCCTCTGCGTTCTCATCGTCGTCGTCTGCCTGCCTGCCTCCTTCCCCTACCCGGCTTTGAAAATCTGCAGGGGCCAAGCCGAACTGGCGCGGGTTCGGGCTTTCCCCCCTGCGCCACTCCCGTCCGCAGCCACACCACATAAGGGGCTCAATCCTGGTCATCATGAAAAGAAGGACGCCGTTAACGTGAATCGCCGTAACGTGAATCGCAGTTGGGGGCCATACCAGCATTTGCGAGGCCCCCGCCACATTGCCCTGCCGCCGCCGCGGCCGCCGTTGCCGCCGCTGCAGCAGACGCCGCCGTTGCCGTCGACGCGGCGGCAGGCGTCGCGATCGCCATGATGCTTGTCGTCGTCGCGCTCTCCGTCGTCGTATTCGTTTTCCGCTGCCGCCGCCGCCGCCGTCACCGCCGTCACAGTCGCAGACGCTGCCGTGGCCGTCGCCGCGGCCGCGGGCGTCGTGGTCGCAATGGTACTCGTCGTCGTCGTCGTCGTCGTCGTCGTCGTCGTCGTCGTCGTCGTGTTTGCCGACGTGGACCTGTTCCTCCACCACCTGTTTCTCCCCCTCACCCGTTCCCCAGCTCCTTTCCCCCCTCCCCCTCCTCGTCCCCGCGCCCGCCCCTCCGCTGAGACCCCCCTCGCAGCTCGCCCGGCGAGACCGCGCGCAGGGCTGCCTTCGAGATGCAGCGAGTGGCGTTTGGCACGGTCTCGGCGCTCACTGGGCCTGGACGCGCTTTTTGGCTCGCGGGTGCTGCCAGCGCCACGCGCGGCCGCGGTCGGCCGCCGCCCGACGAATTGTGTTCAGGCACCTTCGACAGCTGGGCGGCACTAGACCAGCGCGGTCAACTACTCGCAAAGTAACTACTCGCAACAAGCCTGGGTCCGCCGCGCGGGATCTACGATCCATTGCATCGAAGCAGGTCGCGCTCGATGAGATAGGCTGCGCGGCGGGGCGTGCAAACGGCGCCGCGCTGCCTGCGCGCGCGCGGCGCCCAGGAGCAGCGCAGCCTGGCACAGCGTCGGGAGTCTCTCCCGCCACGCGGGGCTTGGACGTGCGTCTGGCCATCGCTCGGACCTCCATTCCCCATGCCATGTTTGGTCCCGTGCGTATGCTTCTTCGTAAACGATCCAAGATGCTCCTCAGTGGCCTTCGCCGAAGAAAACATGCACACGTCCGAGCGATGCCAAGGCACCTGCCGCCGCGCTCCTGCGCCCCCCCTGTGCGGTTCAGCGCAGCGCCCCTTCGACGTGCAGGCCTGGCCTGCCTGGGCACGGCCACGCGCCCCTCGGCTGGGTCGGGTGCGTCCGGAGGCAGCCCGCGCAGATCCGCTGGCAGGGGGGGGGGGGCTCACGCCGTGGAGACGAGGACGGGGGTCTGCAGAGACCTCTACAGGGGCATCCCACAAAAGAGCGCCTCGACCAGAGGCCAGAGCGAGAGCCCGACAACACAGCATAAGGGCACCTCGACCGGAAGCGAGAGCAAAGCGACAGTCGGCCCAAGCGCCTGCGCGGCCGCGAAGAGGAACGCCATCGCATCATCGTCCTCGACGCAGGCGCGGAGCTCGTCGTCGTCCTCCCGATCCTCATGCCACTTCTGCTCCTCCTCATGTTCCTCCCTCGCCATCCTCTTCCTCTTCCTCCTCCTCCTCCCTCCTCATCCACCCTCTGATCCAGTCTGGTCCCCAACTCCCCCGACTCCTGCTCCCTCCTCCCTCGTCCTCCACATCCTGCGTCCTCCGCATGCCTCCTCCCTCCCGCTCCTCCTCACCATCCTCATCTCTTTCTCAATCTCCCCATCCCTCCGAGCCACTCTCCTCTCGTTTTCTCTAGTTTCCCGCCTCCGCCTCACTTCCTGACAAACGTCAGCCAGCGTGGACACCAAACAGTGTGCTTCTAACAGCATGTGTGGTGCCATGTATGCGGTGAATTCGGCTTGGTGCGATTTATGGGGTGCAGTTAATGTCTGTTCGCAATGAGTTGTCCACTCCACTGCTCGCGCAAACATCCCACCCACCCACCCGCAACTTGGTTTGCAAAATCTCTTAAGACCGTGACGGTGGGTACCAAATGGCACTTGGCAACGACAGCGACGCCGACGACGACAGCGACAACGACGACGACGACGCCGCCGACAACGACTACGATGACACCGACGACGTCTCCAACGACTTCGACGACGCCGACAACGACGACAACGACGACGACACCGACGACGACGACGACGCCGACGCCGACGACGAGGATGACAACGACGACGACGATGACGACGCTGACGACGACGACAACGACGACACCGACGACGACGACGACGACGTCAACGACGCCGAAGACGATGACGACGCCGCCGACGTCGACGACGACGACGACGCCGACGCCAACGACGACGACGAAGACGACGACGACGTCGCCAACGAAGACGACGACGAGGGAGGAGGAACGACGACGACGGCGACAACAACGACAACGACGAGGGAGGAGGGAGGACGGCGACGACGCGAACGACGAAGAAGGAGGAAGGACGGCGACGCCGACGACGACAACGACGAGGGAGGAGGGAAGACGACGACGACGACGACAACGACGACGACGACGACAACGGCGACGAAATAGGAGGGACGACGACGAGACGCCGACGACGGACGACGACGACGAGGGAGGAAGAGGAAGGACGACCACGGCGACAACGACAACGGTAACGACCACGACGCCAAAGAGGACGACGACGACGAACACGAGGAAAGACACAGGACGACGTAGGCGACGACGACGACGACGCGGGAGGAGGGAGGGCGGCGACGACGACGACGACGACGCCGCAAGAGCGCGCGCGCACTGTTGAAAATCCGTGTTGCGAAACCTTGTGTGTTTGTAAGTGTTTTTTGGGCGCGCGATTTTGAATTCCTTCAGGATCCGATGGGTTTTGAAGGATTTCGGCGTACGCGCGCGACGACGCGCGCGTCTGCACTCCGCCCCATTTGTTGCAGAAGATTCTTGCGACGGCACACGCGCAAGGGCGTTCGACAGTTTTCGACATGCGCGCGCGCGACGCCCGTTTGGTAGTATGCTGTGGAAATATTGAAAAACCAGTGGTTCTCTTAAGAGACATTGCGATTTCCTATTTCGGATGGACATGTGGTCAGAATCACATGTGATTTACATACCCGAAAGGGGGGGGGGCGATAACTCCAGGGGGGTGGGGTGGAGTCTATTCTCTTTGAGAAAGGAGAATCTAGCTTGTGCAATCTACGTTGGGCAACGCTGGTGGTACAAAGGGTAATTATATATATATAATCATACACATATCTGCACAATACCCATCTCGGTCGCTGAAAATTCCCCAATCAGAGCTTGCCTCTGTAGGGGTCCTAGCGGATTCATTCCCCAATCAGAGCTTGCCTCTGTAGGGGCCCTTATGTAACGGATTCATATGGTTAGGTTAGGTTTGCCGCCGATTTCCGCCGCATTTTCGCTGCACGCCCAAGTGCCCAGGGGGTGCCACGGGGTGCCCGGGGGTGCCCTATAGCCCTATAGCCCTACAGCCCAATAGCCCTACAACTCCATAGCCCTATAGTCCTATAGCTCAATCGCCCTATAGCCCCCTAGCGTTATAGCCCTGATTTTTTTTTCTCCGGTATCATATGGTTCGGTTAGGTTTGCCGCCGATTTTCGCTGCACGCCTGGGTGGGTGCCCGGGGGCCCGCTTTGATCGTCAGGTAGCTGTAAGTTGGATAGCAACATTCATTTCACATGATTTTACTTAACACATTGGGGATACGTGTGTTGATCGTAGATGTCATGCGTGCATCTGCCCCATATGTCATATATAATACAGCTGTAAGTACCTTAATAAGTTAGATATATTTACTAAGTCGCTAGGGCCCGTCCGGAATTATGCTTAGATTTGGTGTGTGAACATTGTTTTGTCTGGTTTTGTGCGTGATCATGTTTGTCTATTTCTAGTTTCCAAAAAGTGTTGGACCTGTGACGCATTCCAAGACTTAGGCGTCGCAGGTCCATCCCGCTGGACCTCGCGGCCGCGCTGCGGCTCCGCCTTAACATGGCGCCCGCGGGGAAAGGGGGGGAGGAAGGACAAAAATATCCACTCGTCTTGCTCTGTTCCGTGTTCCCCCCTCTCCCATTCGTCGGCAAACCACCTACTCCCTCCTTCGGCGGCAAACCGCCTACTCCCTCCTTCGGCGGCAAGCCGCCTCCCCCCTCCCTCGGCGGCGCAACGCCCCCTCTCCCCCTCCTGGCGGCGAACCGCTTCATGCTCCCCGCCCCCCCCCCTTCGGCGGCAAAGCCGCCTGCGCCCCCCTTCGGCGGCAAACCGCCTTCCTCCTCCCTCGGCGGCAAGCCGCCTTCCCCCCCCCTCCCCCCTCGGCGGCGCACCGCCTTCCCCTTCCATCGCGGCGGTTACCCGCCTTCACCCTAATCCCCCCCCCATCGTCGCCCCTCATCCCGTCGCGGCGCCTCTGCCGCCCTCGATCGTCGCGCGCGCGCGGGGGGGGGGAGAATGGCGGCGGCGGTGGTCGTGAACGGGTGGGCGAGAGGAGGCAAGGAGGAATAGGATCAAGGAGGGTGATCACACATTTTGGGTGGGAGAGGGACGGGGGGAGAGGAGGAATGGGATTTCCGTTCCGCGCGCGCGTTGGCTCAAGCCGTTTTGGCCCAGCCCTCGACAAGGCTTCGGGGGGGGGGGGGGGGCGCGCGGGGCGAGTCGCGCGCCCCGCCAGGCGCGCGCGAGCGCCGCGTCGCGGTCATGGAAGCCATCCTTCGAAGCCGCCTGGAGGAGGCACGCGCGGCGCCGGCAGCAGGCGGCAGTGCGACGAGCCACTTTGCTGCGTGCGTCCAGGCGGCGAGGTCCCAGCGTTGGACGCAACTCCAGATAGCGCGGTTCGCTGCGTCGGCTGGCAGCGCCGGGTGTGGGGGGGCGTCTGAGGTGGCAGATGTCTCGGGGGCCTCGTCGGTGGGCAGCCTGCGGGGCAGGAAACTCCAGAACTACGAGGGGCCCATTGAATTTCTCACGCCTCAGTTGTGGGAGTTCTGCGGGCGTCTCTGCCAAGATGGCGGCGTTCCCAGAGCACCTCGCAGCGCTTGGCATGGGGCATCCGAGCTGCCCGACGCGCGCCAACATCGCTTCATTCATGCTGTTGGCGCGCAAGAGCAGCGGCGTGGAGACGGGAGAGGTAAAGAGAGGGCTGCTGCAGCCCTACCCGAGCACCGTGAAAGCTACGTGGAAGAATTCCGCGGCGACGATGGCGCCGCCCAGGGGGCAGATCCAGGCGCTGCCCCATCGCGCCTGGGAGACCCCAGTCCCAGCGCCCCGCCACGCACGTCGACACTTCCCCGACAGGTGTTGGACCGACGGCGCCTCAGATAAACCCCGTCGAGGCGGTGACAGTGGCAAGGCTGGTCAATCTCCGCTCGAGGAAGAGGAACAACCAGCTCGCACTGCCCGCGCGCGCGCCCGCCCACGGGGGGGCGCTGCCACCCCGCGGCCACGGCGCCAGCTCCACCCAGCAAGTCCTTCCCATCATGGGGCGCTCAGTCGCTGGTTGCTTTCCGACGGCCCTGCGAATCAAATTATCACGCCATCCCGGGGACACCGCGGCACGCCGCGCCCCCGCCCCCCCCCCCCCACCCACGCCGCCCCACCACACACACACACACCATCCTTGTTCCTTCTTAAGATATACCCCACCTACGTCGCATTCCGGCCGATAGCGACCCAATCCGAAACCTCCCATCCGGACTGTTAAAAATCAATACAAAGTGGCTATTTTGGGAGAACAAAAAGCCGACACCGGCACCAAAAAAGTATTTGTTCCGCGAAATTTTGAATTGCGCTTTGGACCAGGGCGGCCCCGCCCTGGCCTGAGGAAACGCAAAACAGCCAGGGAGGGCGGGGGAAAGGAGTTGCCGCGAAGCAGGTAGGAAGGAGGACAGGAAACAAAAAGCGCAAGCGAGAAGCGAAACTGGCGGGCGCTCTCGGGAGAGGAGGGAGAAAAGAGGGAAGAATGCGGCATCCTCCATGACCGAAGCCTCACTCCCCCCACCGCCGCCCTCCCCCACGCTTCCCCCCGCCCGCTCGCCCCCCTCACACGCCCCCCCCCCTCCCACACCCGCCCTCTGTCCGCCCGCGTCGCATCCCTGACCCTCGATTTGCCCGAAGCCAGCACCCGACGATTCCGAACCGCCTGCTTCCCGCGAGTGGGGGCGGCGGCCACCCTGCGCGTTTGGGGCCAAAGAGTGTGGTTTACTCTTGACCCGGGCCGGCAGCCCCTGGCAAACTTCCGACATCGTCGAGGGGTTCAGCTCGCCCACGGGGCCGCCGATCCAGAGGAGGCCTTGGTGCTGGCGTCGGCTTTTTGATGTTGCAGTGAACGAAAAGCCGGCACCAGCACCAAGACGCCACTGGAAAAGTTGGCAGCGGTTTCCCTGTGGGGGTTGAGCGATCCAAAGGAGCCTGGAAAGCTTGAGATGGTTGGCATTGCTCTCCGAACTTGCAGGCCATGGGGCTTGCATGATACAAAAGCGTCCCATGGGGCTCATGGCGCCCCTAGGCCCCATGGG